AGACGAGATCAAGATGGCCGTAGACAACCTTTTTAAACTAGAGAGTAAAAGGGATATTAAGAGAAAAGATGCTACCAGTTTGCCTCGTAATAATAAAATTTTTGAGCAAACTTAGGACAAAAAATTGGTAACAACAGTCAGGTATGGCTTAAAAGGTTCAGAAAGGCTTGTTTTATGCTAAATCTGCAATATTTTGTGTGTTGTTAAAAATTCATTGGAGTGCAGCTGAAAATCCTGTTTAAAAATGTTTGTTTCAGAAATTACAAGTATTACATTAAGTACTTCAAACCAGTTTAAAAATATCATTAATATCACTAACAACAATTTCAAAAATATCTCATATCAGCTTTTTTTTTCTGCCTTGACAAATAACTCCATTAGAAGAAAACTAATATGACAAATATGACAAATAACTTCATTAGGAGATGAATCTTTTTCCATCTCAACTGGTAATGCTATTTGCTTAACCTTATAAGGATCAAATTATACAATTTTTGTATTGTTTACTTGACGAGATCAAGCATGGCCGTAGACAACTTTTTTAAACTAGAGAGTAAAGGGTTAGGGGGGTAATAAGAAAAAAGATGCTACCAGTTTGCCTCGTAATAATAAATTTTCTTAACATTCATTATTCTTACTCACATTACGTGGGTAAGATGTACATGAGATCCACATCACTTAAAAATTTTATATACGATAACATAACTTGAATAGTATTTAGAACATATTTAAGAACATATTGTATGCAATTTAAGATACTCAAGCATTGATTTTTACTTTTTTTAGTGATTTTTTGTAATTTCACTTAAGATTTCTGTAATTTATTATCAAGACTGGCGCGGGGTGTCACCCCGCCCCTTTCAATAATTTTTAGTCGGCATTTCGACCCTTAGTCGGCAAATTTGACCCTTTTTGACTAGTTTTTTTTATTTTTTTTTTTTTTATTATTTTTTATTATTTATTTAATTTGCCGTTGATAAATATTACAAAAAAGAAATTACAATAAAAGAAAATCCTGGCTGGAGCAAGAAGAAGACAGATTGTCTTATCACCGAGCCCCGTCACACAAAAATTTACATGCACAATAAATGATAAAAGACAAAAATACAGTATAAATACAAAAACAAAAATAAATCAAAAACTTCAGCAATAAAATAATTTGTTGCTAACAATCTTCAAGCAGAATAATTTTAAAAATAAAAAAGCAATATATGTAAACATAAGTATTTGGGGTGATTATTTAATATCATCAAAAATATGAACGAAAAGACAATTTTATTTTCGTTATCTTTTATACTAATGGTTTGAAACCATTTTAATAAAAGCTAAAGAAAGTGTTAAAGATTTAATTTATTTTTAAGTGATTTAGTTTAAACCTTTAAATTGTTTTCAAAAAAGGTATTTGAAATCTAGTATATCGAATTCCATGTTCAGTAAATGCCGTTTTGAATCATCCTTAAAACTTTGCAAAGTGCAGTTTAAAACGAAGTTTTTTTCTTTACTAAAGATTGGAAAAAAATCTTTCCAAACTAAAGGCCCCCGATATTGAATTTGGTATGAACTTAATTTTAGAAAGTTTATGGGAACCACAAAGTTATTCACTGAAAATTTGGTTGGATATTTATGGGAGATTTCATTAAAGTAGGATTGAAATGTTACTGGAGAAAACCCAAGTTTTGCTTTAAACATAAATATCATTACTTGATGAATATTAAGCTTATAAATATTTAAAGCTCCAAGCTTACGTAAGAGAGGTTCGCATTGTGTTTTTCTATTTGCCCCAAATACTATCCTGCAAGCATGTTTTTGTTTACTATAAATTTTTTTGAGTTTAGTGTGATTAGTGCTACCCCAGGAAATGTTACAGTATGAAAGATAGCTGTGTATAAACGAAAAATATAAATTTTTTAAAGACTCGTTATTAAGAAAAGGTTTCGTTCGGTATAACATGGCAATATTTTTTGAGATCTTACCTTCAATATATTTAATATGAAATTTCCATGACAATTTTTCATCTAAGAGCACTCCCAGAAAGTTTGTAGTCAATTCCCTTTTAATTATTTTATTATTGATTAAAAGATTGGGTAGTTTAAGAGGAATATTCTCGGCTTTACTAGGTTTATGGAATAGGATAAATTTTGTTTTCTCTACATTTAATGATAGTCGGTTACTTATAAACCACTCGTTGATCTTGTCTAATTCTTCGTTAAATATTTTAAAAAGAACAGTAATATCTTTGTGAGAATAAAACAAATTAGTGTCATCTGCAAATAAGATAGTATTTAATACTTTTGATGATAAATATAAATCATTTATATAAAGTAAGAACAATAATGGTCCCAAAATAGAACCTTGGGGTACTCCACAAGTTATTAAGTTGTTTTTTGAGTCTTTTGATTCTTTAATTATAAATTGCTTTCTGTTAGTTAGGTATGATTTAAACCAAAGCAAGCTTTGATTTTTAACACCATAGTTTTCTAATTTTTTCAAAAGAATTTCATGATTTACTGTGTCGAAAGCTTTGGATAAATCAATAAAAACCCCTATTGTATAGCAATCACTATTAAATCCATTTGATATATGCTTAACTAATTCAACTATTGCATGGTCAGTAGAATGATTTTTTTTAAAACCGTATTGATTATTATATAAAATCTTATTTTCAGATAGATATTTATAAAGTCTGTTGTACATAAAGTTAGTCGGCAAATGTTGACCCTTTCGATATAGGTTAGTCGGTAATTTAGACAGTTAGTCGGCAAATGTCGTCATGGCAGTCGGCAAATTTTTGAAAACGAGGAACTTTTTTTTTTTTTTGTCGGCAAAAGTTGTAATGGCAACTCCCCTCCCCCAACGTGACACCTACTCGCGCCGGCCCTGTTTATTATTTTAAATCTTCTGATAAAATAGATTTTTTATTTATATAAATGACTTAAGTAAAGCTTCAAAACTAACAAGGGTTATGTATGCAGATGATACAAATTTATTCCTTTCTAACTATGATATCGATGAACTTTTTAAAACAGTGAACAAAGAACTCAGACATGTATCTAATTGGTTCAAGTATAATAAGTTAACCTTAATACTAATAAAACAAAATAGGTTTTATTTCATTCGAATACAAAAAAGCAACTTCTCCCATCAAAATTACCTCAAATCTTTATCGATCAAAAGGAAATAAAAAGAGATTTTGTTACAAAATTTTTAGGTGTTTATCTTGATGGAAACATTACTTGGAATCACCATATTGATTATATAAGCACAAAAATTTCTAAAAACATAGGCATCTATCTCAATAAGAAAGTCTTAATCCAACTTTATTATTGATTTTTTTGTTTATGCGACACAATGATCGCAAAAAGTGACCAACGTAGCCGTCCAGTTTTGTAGACCTGAGAGATGTGATAATAAAAACAGTTAAAAGATGGTGTCATTGAATATAAAATAAAAATAATATGAGAATATAAAATGAGTGATAAGACTTTTGTGAAGGTAAAGAACGAAGTAAATGCTCGGAGGCAGGGAGAGAACAAACTAACACTCTAATCACTCTGTATGTAGATCATATGTAACAAAGAACAAATATTTGATATACTGATTTTGAAGACCGTTGATGTCTACAGGTGTGATGGTGTAGTGCATTAGTACGTACCGTTTGTCGTCTAGTATGGTCTCGTTATGTTTCCGTTCACTTTCAAATCGGGTGAATAGAAGGCTAAACACACTCACTTCTTGCGCTTATGGGCTAGCACATCAGAGCCAGACGTGAGACCTACAGAATGGATTTCAATTGATCGAATGCACACATTAGTCACCGTAGGCCACAAGCCATCACTCTTAACCAAAAGAGCTACTGCCCCGTGCTGGTGTGGAATGATGTGCTATGAAGTGAGATTTCAGATCCGAGCACATAGTCAGCGAGCGCTGATCCGACGTGCATTATGGAGCTTCCGATTGAACGTGTGCGTGAGTGTCAGCGTAGTCATTAGGTTATTGAGCGCCGTAACCACATCCAGCGGGATAGCCTAATGTCCGTTTTGTCGTTGTGACGTACATGGGAAAAAGTCGGGGCTCACCAGCCACAAAGAATAAATTTTTGTTTATGCGACATAATGGTCGCAAAAAGTGACCAACGGAGCCGTCCAGTTACGAAGACCTGGGAGATGTGAAAATAAAAACAGATTGAAGATGACGTCATATAGGTAAAAAAACATAAATTAATGCAAAGACTATTTAGTTGGAAGAGTAAAAGTAAGCAACTCAGGAAAAGGGGAATAAAAACTCACACTCTAGTCGTCTTTAAACAAATGATGAAATAATGATCTATGAGTAAACAAGTCAATAAAAATCCGCTGGTTTATAATGGTATTCATAACTAAAATAATCGCACCATACAAATGTCTAATAAATGTGGTACTATATATGTTCTAAACTCTAGATAAAAAATTGATAACTGATAATCACCTGTGTAACATAAAAAATATATAAATGTCGTAAATGTACCAAATTCATAATAAAAAGCTCATAAAGCGCAATAATACATGGGTTTAAGAGGTAAAAAAATGTTGGTGCCATAATAACCAATTAGAATTAAGTAGTGGATAAATGGTGATCCCCCTCCTCAGGAATGCACTGCGATCACCAATGACGTTTCGGAGGCTCAAAATAAGCGACGTACATCTTTTGTCCGACATTGTCCGGCACTTGTCTGGTAAAAAATGACATTTATCGGTCACTTTGTCTGACATAAATTTTATGTGAATTTATTTTCTAATCGTTTTAGTTGTTCTAAAATTTTTAATAAATTTAGTATTGTATGAACTTTATTTTTTTAAATTGAAGTTGAAAAACATTACTTTTATTTGAATTAAGTAGCTTTGTTTTTATTATTTATATATAAATGTTGCAATTTAATTTATTCATTTAAAGTTTATAGTTTAGTGTTATTTTATTTTGTCCAATGGTTCTCATAAGTTTCAAACAAATATTTTAGCATTTAAAACCTCCAAACCAAACTTTAAAAAAATTCTTTGAATTCTTTAAAAAATGTTATGCGATAAGTTAAAAATTCCTTTTTGGACTAATTTATGAAATATTGTTTGAGGTTTGTTATAAACATAAGGTTAATGTAATGTTTTGTACATGCGATTTTGTTTAACGACTCTGACGCTGAAAATGCCGCAACTCCAACTCAGACTCCACATCCCTGGCTGAAAATTCAAATAACTTATCATGGCCAATGACATGGGTTTCGAAATGGAGGGGCACAATTGTTAATTTCTAAAAAAAGTCCTATATGCATGGGATTTTCTTTAAAAAAAAAAGAAAAAAAAGACCTAAAGCATCTACCCATTACCACCACATTTAGAAAAAGGTGGTAGTGGTGGGTAGGTGCTTCATTATCCCCCCTCCCCTCACACTGTTTTGTAAGCCCTGCTTATTAAGTCTTACTGCAAACTGTATTTTAAATAGTACATCTGCTTTGTCAAATAAGTTTATTCAAAATATTGAGAAACCGTTTGTGTCAGATACTTACGAAATTTTGATAAATGTGAGCGTTACGGTAAGTCTTTTAGTTATTGTTTTTCTTTTTTTTATCAACTATTATGATTTTTTTACTTATTAGCATCGACTAAAATCTTTTTGTTATCTATCAACTATTTTTTTCTCAATTAATTTAAAAAAAAAAACGATGCTGAAATATAAGTTAAATACAAAAAATGTTTTATGACTAACAGGTACTAGAAATTTATTTAACAAGAAAAATAGATTCTTTTACTTTACTACTCACTTGTATTAAAAGAAATCCATGTAAATGACTGCCCATCAGTGAAAATAAAATATATATATATATATATATATATAAAAATACTATTAAAATGAAAGCAGCAATGATATATTATGGATAAAATCAAATCAAATATATAGTTCTTAATAATAATTAATGTATACTGATTAAAATAATATAAAAATATATTATTCTTAATAATCAAAGTTTAATTTGCTGCGTCATTTTAAGCCAATTTAATTTTGTGTTGATTTCATATTCATCATATTCAATAAATGTTACAGTATTTTTTATTTAGAGTAGAAAAAGACAAAAATAATAAAAAGACCCCACAAACACATTTTACTCTCGGCAGGGATGGGGTGGGGGAGGACGGAGGGAAAAGATTTGAAATTATTTTGACAAATTCCCTATTTTGTTAGAAATCCTGTATCAAATTTACTCCTTTGTTTACACCCTGTAATTAATTTAATGCTTATAGAAACTAGTACTTTTTATTACACTATTAAATTTGATATTAAAAAATACATATTTATTTATTAATTTGTTTTAATGTAATTTGAGCATGATGGAATAATAACATTAAAATAATGGGACTCATCTAAAAGATATAAAAGATTTAATTTTGGTTAATTAAACAAATAATCATAGTTTATTTTAAGCAGTGGCTAGAGTACTATTTAAAGAAAAGAGAAAGAAATTCAACAGTAATACAATCGAATGTAGACTGTCAACCATATGTATAATGTCAACCATATGATTATCGGATGTAGACTCAATGTCAACCATATGAAAATCGGATGTAGACTCAATGTCAAACATATGACAATCGGATGTAGACTCAATGTCAAACATATGACAATCGGATGTAGACTCAATGTCAATGGACCTTATCTTAAAAAGAGTGAATTAAAGGAAGGGGGCTTTAAAAGAACAGCTTAAATATAGTTCTAAACAAGGAAGAGTAAGAGATTTTTAGATTAAACATGATTGAGATGTAGAAAATGTTAACTGATAAAAAGTTACAAACCCTTAAAACGTTATTAATTCAGGTGGAAAAATTTTACAAAGTTAGCATGCAAAAATAGATTACTATTATTTTTTTAAAGAAAATGGCAATGTACAAAATTTTACAAGAAATTTATAGAATATTATTAATAATTAATAGAATATTTTGTTATAATATATTGTTAAAATATAGAGTTAGTTTATTTTTTTGAGTCATTGTAAAATATCTTAGTTTAAAACATCAATGCTTACCTCCTTTACACAACGATAGGTTATGATCAAGTTGCATTTTTTTCTGAAAAAAAAAAACTTTTTTTGGAAATCGTGGGAAAATTTTCTCATTAATGCATTGCAATCAACATCTATTTACCCCTTCGAGTATGATATCAATAGTATTTTTCACTTAATTGAAAGATTTGCTGTGCTACAATATGATACTACAAGTTCTTACAGTAGTGTAAATGAATCCAAAAAAGACTTATTTTCAAAAAACTAATGTTTAGGAGAAGCCATACCGCCTACACAAGATGCTTCACAATAGCATTTCTAGACCTGTTAACCAGGTTTCATAGTGCTGGTCACAATCATTTTATGAGAATCCATAGTGGCCTAATCCATTTGAATGGGTTGGATTATTAAAGACATTATTTATGAAATTGTTCGGTTTACAATTCTGAAATAACTTGTGTAGTGGTTGAGTAGTAAAAATATCTCCTCAGAGTCGCATCTATGGCGTTTACTGGCATTTCGATGAAGATTAGCACTAATAACTAGTTTATCCAGTTAGACAAGCATCTTATGCTTTACCACGTGACAAATTAAATTTGTCACCAATTGAGTGCACATAACAAGAAATAAATAATTTAACTTTAATACCTCATTTCAATACAATTTTTTCATGAATAAACCATTGAGAGCTTGATATTTATATTTAATTATTTTTTACTCTTATTTGTTGTTATTTTTTTACCCCATTTTTCTCTTGTAATTCACTTTACAAACTCTGTTAAAATTAATTACAATACCAATTGCACAGCATCCTATAAATCAACATAAACGTAATATTTCAAATATATTATTAATAATAGTATTGTTACAGCATAATGTATTAATTTATTACTTTGTAGTAATTTGTTGAACTATTACTTTGTAATATTTTATCTTAGGAATAATTTCACCTTTTAAATGAGATTTGAATTTATTTCTTGATTATTTTTTATATTGACAATTACAGATAAGATTTTAACAAATTACATACAACTATTTTTAACAGTATAAAACCTAAAACTTTAAAAAACAAACACACAACCAACAGCATTTATAAACTTGTGAAAAAAAAGTTACTCATAAACATCATTGTTTTGTTTCATTTTATAAAATGAAAAAAATTATTGCTATGATTTTTATTTTAATTTATAAAATACATTGACTTTAAACAGCTATTCTGTGCATTTTTTACAATGAAACTTTTCAATAATGTTTAATTAAACTAGGTACATAATTTTCATCTTCTGAGGAATAAATTGATTCTTTGTCAGTTTTCATTATTTAACACTAACTTTGTTACTGTTCTTTTTGGCTTTTGTTATTCAACAACACTTTCTTTTATCTGAATATGATCTGCTTAATCAATGCTGCTATTTCTTTCTTTTTGCTTTTTTTGTATTCCTATTTTTTATTATTTGTCTCAGCCTTTAAATCTTTTGCAGCTAAATACACCCCCAGTTTTTGCTTAAAGTTATTTTTTTGTATTAGAGTTTATTAATGCAGTTTCAGATTATTCTCAGGGAAATAGTGTTATTTAATATATCTATGCATTCTTGGTCAGCTTTCAAGGCGATTCAATTTTGACAAAATTTTTGATGTGTAAGTTTCTCTGCTCTGCCTTTTTTGAAATGATAAATATTAACTTGATCAGCCTATGCTTCCATTGTCTGCTAAATGCAACAAGCCAGTTCTTAGGGAAAATTTTTAAATTATGTCTCTTTTCTTTATTAATTTGTGCAGATCTGCAAAATGATCTGTCTCAAAATTATCGTTTTTAAATTATGACTTTTTTCTTTTTTAATGTGCAGATCTGCAAAAAGATCTGTCAAAAAATGAGCCAAATTTAAGTTCGCTCTGACAGATCTTTTTATATGGCAGAGTTTTTTATTTATGTTATAAATTAAGCAATTGATTAACTGAGACTATTTTTTTTTAATTTGAAACAATTTATTAGTCAGACATTCCTTTGTACTTCTTTCTTTTAAAAGAAATTAATATTAATATCTCAATTCTTCACAACCAAACATACATAAATTAGGATTGAAATATTGGCCAAGTGCAGTTAATTATACAAAAAAGAAGATTTCTACCACCTATATTTTTTTTTTTGTAAATATAGTATTTTAAAAAGTATTTAAAATTGTTAAAAATTTTTAATCAATTTTGGTGCAATAATTTACATGGAGTCAGTAACAATAATCAATTAAACTAAAGTTTAAGTTTCAAGTAAAATTTAAATCTGCTTTTGGGTGAATTTGATTTGAAGTTTAATTTAAAATTGGAGTTCACTACTGGGACTTACTATGCTGCGAGAGTTGTAAATTATTTAAGTTATAAAAAGAAAAAGAAAACTAAGTTACAAAGTTAGCGGTCTAACAAGCATACTGTGACTAAAAGTTTTTGAATTTGATAGAGAGCAGATATAATTATACTAAGTATTTATTATGTATAATAATAATGAGATTATAATAATAGTAGTGATAATAATATAATAATCATTATTAAATCATTAAATAAATTTCACTCAACAAATGAGTTTCTGGAGGAAATTTATAAAACTAGTTTTTTTTCTTAAATTAGCTTGTGTGTGCCTTAAAAAGGTCTTAAATTGACATGTGTGTGTCTTAAATATAAGTTTTGGATCTGATCACAACTTCAACTTCAAAAAATTAAGATCATTTCATACAAATTATTCCCATTAAATTTGTTAGCTTAAATCTGTCAGAAAATTGATTTATAAAATTAAAATGATCTTTTATAGAAAATAATAAACAAAATTTTTTGTTTTTGAATATAATAATGCAAAACATCTTGTCATGTTTTGTTAATTATGAAAACAAGTGTCTATCATTGGATAAAAATGTTCATTACTTTAATTGCTGAAACAGTATGTGAACACTAGATTTAGTTAGGATATACATTCTCATCTAACATAAATTTATTGTTGCCGCAAGACAAAACCATACTTATAACTGAGTTGTAAAACTATCAATAGAGCTATAGAGACTTCTTGTTTATATGGTTGTTATCAAAATTAAAAGTTAAGAATAAAAGGAGGTTAAAACAAAGTTACATTTGCTCTTGTATATTGCTTCCAATATTTATTTTTTTATTTTATTTGCATTCACTCCCAACTAGGCTACAAGCAACCACTATTAAGTTAGGAGTTACTAGGAAAAGAAAACATAGTTATAGAGCAAGGAAACAGTTGACAGAAGACTTGTTGAAGTTGAAGTTAAAAAAAAAAGTTGAAGGATCTATGAGTCAGGAAAACATGAAGATGAGAGAGAGAGTTCCAAAGGATTGAAGTGCGGGGAAAAAAACTAGATGAATAAAAGTTTTTTGAGCATGCAGAGACAGATACAGTAAACGAGTGAGACTTAGCTGAATGACGAGTAAAACGAGAATGAATTTTAGTTGATGGAACTAGAGATGATAACTCCTTTGAGCAGTGACCATGATAGTATCTGTAGAAAAGAGAAAGAGATGCAACTTTACGA